TGGAGTTTGAGGTGGGTGACTATGTTTGGGCAGTCTTGACAAAGGATCGGTTTTCGGCCCATGAGTATAATAAATTGTCCGCTCGGAAGATAGGACCGGTCGAGATCATGGAGAAGATCAATTCGAATGCTTTCGTCACACATCTGCTCTCCCAACATATTCGACGTCAAGTATTTGGTGTCGTTTCTTGGTTACAACTCTGACGGTTACGAGATTGGGTCGAATTCGAGGGCGAATCTTTCTCAACCGGGGAAGAATATGGAGACGATAATGTGCTCACCTTCCTAGAGCAGCATCGGCTCTTGGCTTTAATATAATTATTTGTTTCTATTGTTATTATTATTAGTGTGAATCTTTATTGAGTCTTTTCATGTTAGGCAATATAGATAATTAGAGAGACGAGAACTCAATTTATTCTTCTCTTTTTTCATAGCCGATTCGACTTTCATGAAATAAATTACAGAAATATTGAGTTTGATCTCATTTGTTCCTTTTCGTACATGCTTGTTGCGTCAATATCTACCGAGGCTTTGTAGGTTACTGGAGACCATATTACATGCGCAGTTTGTAAGATGCAGAGACTCGGTACATTTGGTGTTCATCACATGAGATGTTGCAAATTTTTAGTGGAAATTTTTGTATAATGGATTGATGATCGAAATAATAAACATGAGACAGCTAATTAACATTCTTAAAAAAAATAGAATTTGATTGGTATTCTTTAGTAGGAAACGACTTTAAAGACAAATTTGTGAAAACGAAGCGTATATAGATTATGGTTTGTGTGGGAACTTCAATAAATTGTCAAAACTTGTTCAGAATGAAACAACCTAGCTAATAAATGATTACTTAATTATGATTATTAGTTTACGTTTTTGTTATGAAGCTAACAGTTGGCTCTGTAAAAGAGCTAGTTTTCTATATACACCAAATAAACCTATCATATTCGTTGATTACTTAAATAATAGTAATATAATTTTATTAATTTTATTTGCCTGAACAAAATTATAAAAATATATGCTTGAAAAATGAAACCGTGTAGGCATAAAAAAAAATATATATTTTAAAATATATACTTAAAAAATGATAACGTGTTTGCATATTAGAAATAATATTTAGATTATAATCAGAATATACGCATACAAAGCTGGCACACATAGATATATAAGAACGTATATCAAAATAAAGTCAAATATTAGAATATTTTAGTGGCACTTCTTCTCCAACAATATCTACATACTTTCCATATATTATTTATTTAAATATTTTCGGTCCCTCTTTGTCTCATCTGAATATTTTTT